GAAGCAGGCTTCCTGCTGAGCAGGGAGCCTGATGCGGGGCTCGATCCCAGGACCCTGGGATCATGACCTGAGCCGAAGGCAGACGCTTAACGACTAAGCCACCCAGGCGCCCCACCAGGTATATAGTTTTAAAATGGAGAAGATCGCAGTTCTTGCAAAAGAATGAAGAAATTCATTCCATTTCCAACACAGATCTATTCCCAGGTGGCCCAGACCACTAACAAGGAATACATCAAGGTTTCACCTCATCGCTGGCCTCAGTTTCCCCTTCTGTAAGTGAGGCCCTTCAAGGGCCCTTTCCACACACAAGCTCTGTGCCTTCAACTCACAGTCTGCCAGCACTTGAATGGCTCAGTCAACTCCACATGAGAACTGTGGGTGCTGAGGTTTGCACACCTGACACTGCGTGTTTCCCATCCCCCCTCCACGCACGCTTCGCAAATTGTGTGATCTTGTCTGGCTGTCACAGGAAGACCAGAAAAAGGTTATATTTGCTGAAATGATTTTTCAAGTGTGCTTATTATATTTCCCATCCCTGCCAAATTTAGGCAGTTGGTCCAAAGAGGATAGCATTTAAAAGGGCACATAACGTTTCTGTAATGTGAAGGGAGAAAACTTTCTAGAGGCTGGCGTCTCTGGCCGCAGCGTCCACCTAACATTGTGTGGCAGGCGGGCACATCATCTGACAGGATTGTCCAGGCTGGCCTGGTCGAGCGGCCATGGCGTCGTTGAAGGAAAATAACCTAGGTACAGGAGGGCTTTGTGTCTGCAGAGGATGCTAAGGAAGTAAGAAGCCTGCATGGAAATAATTCTTCCCTGAAAATATTTCTTTTTTGATTGCAAATTTGCATTCAAGGAGAATTTTTTGGAATAGAGGTGTAATTGGCATACACCATTGTATTGGCTTCAGGTGTACATCATCATGATTTGATATTTGCACATAATGCAAAATGATCAACCACAATAAGTCTACTTAACATCTGCCAACACACATAATTACAGAATTATTTTTCTTGTGATGAGAACTTTTAAGATTTACTCTCTTAGCAACTTTCAAATATGTAATACGGTATGATGAACGATGGCTCCACGCTGTCCATTTCTGTTGTTCGAAGCCGTCCGGTTTGTGGCATTTTGCCGTGGCACCCCTAGGAGATTAATATACTGCCCAAGTATGTTCTCCATACAGAAGCTCAGGTAATCTTTAAAAGTGCAGACCTCATCATGTCCCTAGGTCCCCAGGGCTCTCGGGACAGAGTCCAGCCTGCTCTGTCCCTGCCGAGTACCCAGCTTCCCGCACCCTCCACCCCCCACCACACCATCCCTCACCTTCTGCAATCCACTAACTGTTGTCCTTAAATGGGGGCTTAGCAAATTAATCAGGCAGAGCATCAATGCTGACAGTTTTTTAAAGATAAGTCGATTTAGAATTTCCCAGGTTAAAAAATAGCAACATTAACATAACAGACTTTGCTCACTGTCCGATTGTGTTGTCTCAAACCCTCCCTCCTCTCTGATCTTGGAAGCCTGCCACAGCCCAGAGCAGAGGATTCATGAATCCTCGGGACCAGAAATTACCCTACGAGAAGGGCAGGACTCCCCTTCCATGACTTATCATTGAATCTGGATCCAAGACGAAAACCTGCAGGGAGTCACAACTTTATCACTTGCTTCATGTCCCCCAGACAGCAAGGGTGTGGGGGCAGAGGAAAACTGTTGTAGACAGAACAGCACTCCAGTAGGACGGGGACTGGCGTTAAATGTAGAGCTCAGAGGAGGGCCAGTGGGCACCTGTTTTGGATGTCCTCTGAGATGGTTGTAAGCCAACTTTGGGGCCAACGAAAGGAGTGGGAAGGAATGGATTATTTAGAGCCAATTCAGCAAGGGACCGAACACCCACTGGGCAGAAAGCTCTTTGCCCTGTTAAGGGTCCAGGATGGGGACTGCAAAAAACACCTGATTCTTTTTGTAGCACACTCTTTTCCTTGTCTGGATCCCCTGGAACCGGTCTAAAGCTGCTTTCACCAAACACTGAATTACCACCCCCAGTCCACTCCTTGCTGCGTGACCCCACTCAACACCTCCTCAGACATGCATCAACTTGGCTGGGCTCTGTGCTTATACAACAGAGAAGAGGAAAATGCACCTGTGTTTTCTGATGAGCCCAGTAAGGGGCAAGGGCAGGAGCAAGAGAAATAGGGGGACAGGGTTTGATGATTAAAACAGGCTATTGTGGGGCGCCTGGGTGGCTCAGTCGTTAAGCATCTGCCTTAAGCTCAGGTCATGATCCCAGGGTCCTGTGATCGAGCCCCGCATCGGGCTCCCTGCTCCATGGGAAGCCTGCTTCTCCCTCTCCTGCTCCCCCTGATTGTGTTCCCTCTCTCGCTGTGTCTCTCTCTGTCAAATAAATAAAACCTTTAAAAAAAAAAACGGGCTATTGACAGGACTCGACGAGGTATGGGAGATAAAATGAGAGTGCTGTTTGATTAAGGGCATTCACAACTGGAAATGGCAAAAAGGGACCGAGAAAATCCTCCAAACGCCAAGCAACTGGTGCCAAACAAGGCACTCGCGGCAGCAGCAGACCTGCACGAGAGCGCTGGGTCACACACGGCCCCCAGCGTGTTTACTCTTCCATCCCCGCGTGCAGCCCAGAGCAAGAGGGAGCATGGGTGGCAGATGCGTGTTGCCAACCCTTCGCCGTGGCTACAAATCCAGAAGGACAGGGACGTATGGGCACACGGGCCCAGCCCACCTCTTCCTTCACAGGACAGGGAAGAGCAAATATTAGCTCCATTTCCAGGTAAAGAAAATGAAGCTTAACAAGGTCAGCTTAAAGCCATAAAGCCCAGGCCACCCCGCAGATCAGCTCCGTCTGAACCTCTGGGGAAGGTGTCCAGGCCTCCGGAGTTGGACGACTCCCGAGAAGAGTCCGAGTCGAGCTGAGGTGAGGACCAGGGTCAGTGGTCAGCCCAGACCGCCAGCCGGTGGCGGACCAGCTGGGTTCAGATGCTGAGCAGCCCGGTTCTGACCGACAGCTGGCCCTGGGCCAGCCACTTCGGGAGAACTGGACATAATAGCCTTGAGATAGCCCCACCCGTCCTTGGAAAGCCGTGGAGTTGGCAGCAAGTCAAGTGCAGTCCTTCCATCTGAGCTGTGGCCAGGGGTGGGGGCAGGGGGCTAAGTCCTCCCCCACTCTCAGTTTGCTCATATTGTCTGTCAAATCACAGCTGAGATTGTCTCAGTCTTACGTGAGGTGTGAACAGAAGTACGCTTCGAAAGTCTGGGTTAACACAAATCTAAATAAAAATGGTGTGAACTCTATAAACCAGTTTAAGATGAGTCCCCTTCCCCCATCTCCTGCACGGCCCCAAACAGGTTGTCACCCAAACCCCTCCTTCGTACACGTTCGGGAGCTCCGCTGCCGATGCCCCACTCCAGGTGTGCAGACTCCAGGCTCCCCCCGACACCTGCGCTCCTCGCGGGGCCCGGCCAGAGCGCTCTCCTCGGTCCCTCCGCCAGCCTGTCACCCCAGCAGGGGCACAGCCAGCAGGGGCTGTGCCGTCAGTCATGGGCCTTCATGCTCACAGAGCCCAGTCCGGCTTCCAGGCACCTGCCTCAGCTCACCTGCAGCAGCAGAAGCAACACTGGAAGCAGGAGCAGCGAGGTGTGGCTCCTGGAGCCCATGTCCACGTGGGGACGCGTGCAGGTGGCCACAGGTCCTCCCAGGCAGCCGGCGTCCCCCACAGCCAGGCCTCTAATCACCGATCACTTCCTTCCCAGCCCAGGTGTCCTGTTGCTCCGGGGACACTCCTGTCCTTGGCACTCTGCTCTCCTCTCTCCCGTCCTCTGTCCCAGCCGCACTTGCATTTATCAGAGTGGGCTGGGCTGAACCTTCAGCTTTAACCTCACAGTGACAACCGAGTTCCCAGGAAGGGAGTGGAGGGGAATGAAACATGCCCTGCCTCACGTGCACAGATTTGGGCTGGAACCCGACCCCAGGGGATTGCCCCAGCCTTAAAAGGCCCCACAATCTCTGTCTGAAGCAGGATATTTTAATGACTCTTTCCTATAACCCCTATGCTTTCAAAGGGGAGCAGTGGAAAAGGACTCCAAGAAAGAAGGACTTGATTAAGGAGAGAAACCCAAACGCTTTCACTTTCCAAAGCACCAGCGGATCTTTATCCCAGATATGTCTCAGGGCTCTGAGATTTCTACCCAAATCTCTGCTAAGCTTAGCTGACTCTGCCCTTGTGACTTTGGGATTGAAGGAGGATGGAGAGATGGAGAGAGACGCCCTACAGGTGGGGGCCTCTCTGTGCCAAACTGGGGGTCTTGGCACTCGAAGACCAGGGGAAAAAAAGGCAAGCAAGGATTCTACGCAATCGATACTCAAGGTCACAATGACTGAGTTTAAAACAAAATCAGAGATCCATTAACCGGATCACCTGAACATCGTAGTTTGTTACCACATCTTGTTTAAAATAACAAACAGTTCTTTAGCAGATGGAGAAGGTAGGAGAAGGGAACCTTCCTTCCTGTGCATTCACAGCTCCGTGAGATGCCGCTGAACACTGTCATTTGAGAAATTTATTGTCTGAATCTGAATCAGTAGCTTATTATTGGAAAGAGGAACAAATGCAATTTTAAGGTCTCTATTTCGCGTGCATAAATAGAAATGGAATAATAATTATCGAATTTACAACTTCATGCTTATTTTCAAAGTGGGTATTTTTATTCCATGGCAGTCTACAGAAAATTTGATTAAGTTAGAATCGTTAATTCAGGATTCATAGATCAGATAAGCTAAACCATGTCAAATGTTTGTAGGAGAAAAAGAAGATGCAGGGTAGGCAGCCCTTCCATGGAGTAGTGCTGAGAGAGATAACATCGAGCAAGAAGGACAGTAAGCCGGCCTCCAGAGATCTGGAGAGGGGCTGGGGATGCGAGGAAACGGCTCTATTTTTACATTTCTTGCAGCTGAAAGAACTTGGTCTTTTCATATATTAGAAACAGCCAAATTTTCAACATCCTCAAACACTGAAAAGTAACGGAGCAAGATGTCGGCTTCCCCTAGGCCATCTTTCTCTCATTGGGGCTGAGCGGTGGTGGGCTTCACCTGCCACAGGGCACGTCTCAGATGAGTGTCACCTAGAAGGTGTCAAGGTTCCCTCTCCGTCCTGACTGAGCATCTGCGATTGCAGACTCTAGTGGTCCTGTGTCCTAGGACGTGCACTAATACTTTGCAGCCACAAGGGGGCAGCTCCCCGATGCAGGTAACCTGAGAGACGCAATGTAGGTGCAGGTGGTGGAAAAGGAAGGAATGATCGCTAATTACCCGGACTCGACAGCCTCACCTCCAGCTCTCAGGATTCTCTATCGCGACAAGCACATCATGAGTGCTGCTGAGGATGAATTTCGTCTCGAATCATCCATGATAGGCAGGTTCCCACCAACACCACCAGGCACTCGCTGAGTGTCATTTTTTCGGGATCCTTAGTGAAGGCAGCTTGAACACATTGTTCTCCATCTCTGCAGGGTTCACGGAAGACTTCTACTGGCCCAGGAATTGGTGAGTAGGACCTTAACTGAAAACGAGGTAGCATTACATTCACGACATTCTAAGAAGAGACCCCAACAATTAAGACCAGACACTTCAGGACCCCCAAACCATGGCAGAACTGGTCCCGTCACACCCACCACCCCCCCAGCCCTCTCTCTGCCACTGTGGCCGTGGACGTGAGGGGTCCCGGGGCCGGGGGTCAGCTGCTTTCTGCTCGCCTCATTTGTAGCTGGAGCTGCCCTGCCCGCCACCCCCGCCCCCCCCGCAACTGGGGAGGGATGGGAAGATTTCTTTCCATTTTGGGAAGTCGGTGGGTTGGATTTTTCTAGGGAATGGAGTCCCTGGTAATGGGTGGGGGTGACTGCAAAGCTGGGGGCCTGGAGCCCCATCCCAGCAACACTTGGACAGCGGTCGGGCTGACCGGGCCCACGCGCAGCTAAGGAGACGGGCTCTGTGGCGGACAGCAGGGCCTCGAGAGGGTGCAGGAAAAGTGCCCAACGCTGCCTCCATCCTGCGGGCCAGGAGACAGAGCTTCCCCTGCCGGTCAAGTCAATGTCAAAGAAGGGGCATGGTGGGCTGAGGCTTCTTGCTGCTCCCGAGATGGCTGCTGTGCGGGGAGGTGCAGACAGGCCCAGAGTGTGACGTCTGGACGCCTTCTGAATGGGGCGAACCAACCTCGGTGGAAGTGTGGAAGGCGGTCACGGAAACACGGGACATGGCCGCACGTGCGCTGGAGAGCGAGCAAAAGCAGCTGGAAACGGGGCGGGGGGGCGGAGCAGGAAGCAGGCAGGTGGGGGGACAGGGCGGAGAACAAGCCGTGAGCAGTGGCATCTACACAGTGAGCATGTGGGAGTTCACTGTACAAGCCTTTCAACTTCTCTGGATGTTTGAAAGTTTTCATAACATGATGCTGGCGGGGAAAAAAATCGGAAAAGTGAATTTGACTCCAGCACTGAAAAACCCAAGTTATTATTACGTGTACTCTGAGCCTAGTGTCTCCTAGTGTGCATCTAACACATGTACCCCAATTCCTGACAAGTGTAAGAGCTGAAGGGTAGACCTCCCGTGAGAATAGAACAACTCCTCACTTGTCTTTCCTGATTTGCCCTAAGGGACCGAGACGTTTTCGTCTTCCCCACATTGCTGCTGTGGTAGCCACAAGGGCCGAGGAGAAAATGTGGTCCTTATGTTTTAGTATTTTGTCAGCCACCAAGGGCTGCCCGGAACATTTCCTTGGAGAAACTTTAGTCTATTGCCCCTATTTGTTCAACTAGTAGTTGTAGGTGAGCAAATGGGGGCGGGGGGAGGGAGAACACTGCAAGTATAACAGATTGGAGTGTTTCTCGCTTTTTGCAAGTATATTTTATACTAATTATATTGATAGTGGAAGCACCGAGCTCTTTTTTCAGTCATTCGTGTATGTGAATGTTTTTATGCTTTTTCAGGGAAGAAAGGAGATAAGGAGCGGAAGAGAGAAATTTGAGGCTACTTAGTGTATCTTCTCACGTCAAAACTGTCCTGAGCAGGGGGCAAAATACATACTTCTTTTAATTAGAACATCTTCAGCTGAACCTGGTAGATCATTCTTCTCATTATTGTATACGACCTACAAGGATAAAGCATTTCATTCCAGGAGTTAGAAAAGTGAGCAACACGGGACCAAAGCACAGTCCCTTCCCTTACTGTACGAGGGCGGGTGTCTGGTGAATTGCCAAGGGTCTCGTTCAGAGACTTTCATACTATAGGGGAGGTAAAATTTGACCTTTACTGTCATAGGAGAGGGAACATAATTTTACTTCTACCCTTCTAGGTTCTCGACTGAGACCTCCTGTAAGAAAAGACAGATTCACAGGAGAAAAACAAACAGAAGTTTAATAACACGTGTGCTCCCTGTACATGTGAGAGACACCCCAGAAGACCAAGGAGCTCCCTGAAATGGTTCATGCTGCCTCCTTAAATACCACCTCCAGCTAAAGACAGAAGATGTTCATTTGTTTTGTTTCTTAAATTCCACATAAGGGAATGGAAGTAAAAATAAGATGAAAATTGAGAGGGAGGTGAACCATAAGGGATGCTGAGCTCTAGGGAACAAACTGAGGGTTGCTGGAGGGGAGGTGGGTAGGGGGATGGGGCCACTGGAGGATGAGCACAAAGGAGGGCATGTGATGGAGTGAGCACTGGGTATTACATGCAACTGATGAATCACTGGATTCTACCCCGTGAGGTTACCAGGAAAAGCACAATAAGTGGGTACGGCTGTTTTGCAGATTTAATTCCATGCCTTAATGAGATAAGAGTCGATAAGCATTTCTAGGATCCTCTTCCTCTTCCTGGTACAGAGAGGGAGACACGCCCCAACACACGGCGATCTCCCCTGTGCATCTCTTACACTCTGCTTTCAGAGCTTTTCCTGTGGCTGTGCTGTCCCTTAAAAATATTTTGGGGTGGCAAACTGCTCCCCTGCACCCTCTTTGGGTCATTTTCGGCTGGTGCTGAGAATTAAGTCGACGTAAGATCAACAGGAGAAAAAAGCAGACCGACTGTGGAATCCCAGTTCTGCAAGATGCGGGGGCCTTGAGAAGGAATGAGGGCCCGGAGAAATGGTGGGAGTCACTGGCTTTGCTAATAGGTTGAACAAGGAGAGGCAGTTGTAGAAAACGTCCTCGGCTATGTGGGGAGACTAAGGAAGACAAGAGCCTTTTAACAAAATCTGTGCAGAATTCTTCTCAGTCACCGCTTCTCATCCCCGACGGTAAGAATGTCTCTTTCTTTCTGGCACCGGGAGGACGTCTCTCCTACAGGAATTTCATCTCCTGCTTTGAAGAGAAAGAAGAAAGGTAAGAGTGTTTTTCTTCGACTTGCTGTTTTTCAAGTGCCTTTAACTCAAGGTAGGCAATGTGCCAGGTGGCGGATTTCGGGGCGACGCGTTGGGAACTCCTTCACCTGCAGCAGGTGCCAAGGCAGGGCTCGCCACAGGAGGAGCAGGGCCACGGAACCATGCTGGCTGACTGGCATCACAAGTGAGATGTGCATTGGCTTTCTCTAAAATATCATTTGAGCTGGGACAGTTGTATTCGTGACTACCCCATTTTTAAAATTCCACGTATGTTTCCCAGTGTTATCA